GTGGCTAGGGTCTTTCAAGCTGTCCTGGGACGCACCATGGAGGCTTACGTTGACGATATGATCGTCAAAAGTAAGGAGGCAGGCACCCACGCCGACGATCTCCGGGAGATTTTTGCCATCATGCAAAAATTTAACCTCCGGCTAAATCCGAAGAAGTGTACCTTCGGCGTACAAGGAGGGAAGTTTTTGGGCTACATGGTCAGCAGAAGGGGAATTGAGGCCAACCCCGAGAAAATTCAGGCCATCATCAACATGGAGCCCCCACGCAACGTCAAAGAAGTCCAACGGCTGACGGGTCGCCTGGCGGCCCTCAACCGATTCCTCTCTAAGTCAGCCGAGAGGGCCCTCCCCTTCTTCCAAATCATGAGGAAGACGGCGGGTTTTCAATGGACGTCTGAGTGTCAAGAGGCCTTCGACAAACTCAAGAAGTACCTCTCCTCCCCCCCAGTGCTCTCCAAACCAAAGGTGGGGGAGACCTTATACTTATATCTCGGTGTTAGCCCTGCGGCTATCAGCTCAGTACTAATCCGAGAGGAAGACGTTGGATTACTGACACGTGTCCTCTCAACGCATTTATTGCTGCTATAAATAGCAGCCCTTATTCTCCTTGTAAACCACGCTGAGTTCATTTAATAAAATCGACTCTCTCTCCTCCTATTTGCTCTGACTTCTCTCTAGTTATTTCCGCAATAACCCTTCGGACGAGATACCCCCCGGGTAGACTATCCATCACTTAACATTATGGATGTTTATTATTATTACTCCCTTATTTGGTTTTCATTCACTAAAAGTGAACCCAAAAACAGCATGGTGTTCCATCTCGTTAAAGTTTAAAAACGGATGAACTAAAATTACTTGAGAAATGGACTGTTGTGTTATACGGAGTATATTGTTAAATCCAAGACAACAATTTATCCATCAAAGCGATTTAGTTACTAAACTATAAAATAACCTTTCATATATTAGGGTTTTCATCAAAACAATCTTTCAACGAAAAACTCTCAACATAAGTTTTGTACTTTAAGGACCTTTGGTTATCAAGTTGCGAGGTCTCTTATTGTTAAGATGAGCCCCTTAACAATTGGTATGACAGTAACTTAAACCAAACAGCTATTATGTACGTTTCTATCAATTGTCGGGAATAACCCCTATAACGGCACTAATGATTGTTTTTTTAACCTCAAATGATGTGGTAGAAATTAATAAGAAGTAAATATGTGAGCTAAATTACTTCTCTTATTATAAGTCAGAATAGAGTACCTCACTTTATTATCTCATTATGTAATACAGGAGTATATTTTAAAATGAAATTAAAAAAAAAAATGGTGTATGAAATTTTTATTTAAAGTGCTCATTTTTATTAGCTATGCACTTCTGAATGTACTATTGAATAAAATACAATTTATATTACAATATTGAACTAATATTTGTTCATTTTTATCTTCGCGAAGATATGGAGTTAACTAAAATTTCTCTAAGTGGCTCTGAACAATGTCTAATAGACAGTGCCACAACGCACACCATTTTGAGACATAGAGATTATTTTTCTCATATGACTTTAGTTGATGCTAATGTCAATAGCAACAATCTCAGGTGTTGCTAAACTCATTGAAGGTTCTGGAATGGCCTGTGTGATTCTCCCAAAAGGGACAAAATTAATAATTAAAGACGCTTTATACTCCAGTAAATCACGGAGAAATCTGTTGAGTTTTAAAGATATGCGTCTAAATGGTTTTCATATTGAAACCATGTCTGAAAATCAGAAGGAATATTTATGTCTAACGACAATTAGATCTGGCAATAAATACATTTCTGAAAATGCCAGCATATTCCTCAGGACTGTATTATACATATATCAGTCCCATTGAGATAAATGTGGTATCTAAAATTTATGACCACAATTCTTTTATCTTGTGGCATGACCAGTTAGGTCATCCAGGCAGCACTATGATGAACAAAATTATTCAAAATTCACTTAGACATTAATTAAATAATGTCAAAATTCCGCAATCAAGTGATTTTCAGTGCACTGCCTGTTCTCTTGGCAAATTAATTATCAGGCCATCTTTATTTAAAATTGGAGTTAAATCTCCTGCATTTTTAGAAAGAATTCAAGGAGATATTTGTGGGCCAATCGCCCCTCTGTGTGGACACTTTCAATATTTTATGGTGCTCATTGATGCATCAACACGTTGGTCACACGTCAGTCTTTTATTGACTAGAAATTTTGCATTTGCAAATCGCCTTGCTGAAATTATTTGTTTGAGATCACAATTTCCGGATTATTCGATAAAGAAAATCCGACTTGATAATGCAGGAGAATTTACATCCCAATATTTTAATGACTATTGCATGTCAATTGGGATTGATGTGGAACATCCAGTTCCACATGTACATACACACAATGGTGTTGTCGAATCCTTAATTAAGCGATTACAATTAATTGTTAGACCATTATTGATGAAATCCAGATTACCATCATCTGCATGGGGATATGCTATAGTGCATGCTGCAAATTTAATTCGGCTTAGGCCAACTGCATATCATAAATTTTCTCCATTGCAATTAGTATCTGGTAAAGAACTAAGTATATCACATATAAAAATATTTGGTTGTTCTGTGTATGTACCAATTGCTCCACCTTATCGTACTAAAATGGGTCCTCAAAGAAGGCTGAGAATTTATGTTGGTTTTAAATCACCCTCAATTATTAATTATCTAGAACCTATGACCGGTGACTTATTCACCGCGCGGTTCGATAACTGTCATTTTGATGAGACAGTATTCCCAGCCTTAGGGGGAGATATTAAAGAAATGGACCCACGTACGAAAGATATTACTTGGAATGCAACAAATTTATCTTTTCTTGATTCTCACACAAATGCTTGTGAACAAGAAATTCAAAAGATTATTCATTAACAAAATGTTGCAAACCAATTGCCTGATGCTTTCACAGACTCAAAGAAAGTGACAAAGTCACATGTTCCAGCTATGAATGCTCCTTCTCGAATAGAAATTCCTGCGGAGATTAGCGAAAGAACTCTTGCTAATGAATCTATGATACGTAAAAAACGTGGTAGACCACTTGGTTCAAGAGATTTGAAACCAAGAAAATTTAAACAGCAAGTTGTAGTTTGTGATGCCAAAGAAGTTCAACCTTCTCAAGAAGAAAATGAACATTTTAAAAATATCGGCCTTGAAAATAACATCAATAATAATGATACCTCAACAGAGGATCCAATCACCTTCGAAGAGGTAAATATTCCAGATAAAGATAGAAACGTCGATAATTTCGAAATTTCAATTAATTATGTTTCTAATGGAATACAATAATGGAATAGAAATGATATTGATGTTAATGATATATTTTCATATGCCATCGCCACATATATAATGAATGAACACGATGACAATGAGCCTAAATCTATTGACAAATGTCGTCGTAGAAATGATTGGCCAAAATGGAATGAAGCAATTCAGGTAGAATTAAAATCGCTAGAAAAGCGTAATGTTTTTGGACCAATTGTCCATACGCCAAAAGGCGTAAAACCTGTCGGTTTTAAATGGTTTTTTGTGCGTAAACGCAACGAGAAAAATGAAATCGTTAGATACAAAGTTCGACTTGTTGCCTAAGGTTTTTCTCAAATGCCAGGAATCGATTATGATGAGACGTATTCTCCAGTAGTTGATGCTACAACTTTAAGATTTTTAATTGGCATGTCTGTTTTTGAAAGGCTGCAAATGCGCCTAATGGATGTGGTGACCGCATATTTATACGGTTCACTCGATACAGACATATATATGAGAATTCCTGGAGGCTTTAAAATACCTGATGCTTATAGCTCGAAATCTCGAGATTTAGTTTCCATAAAATTGCAAAAGTCATTATATGGATTAAAACAATCTGGACGCATGTGGTATAACTGTCTCAGTGAATATTTGATTAAAGAAGGATATAAAAATGATCCTATTAGTCCATGTGTTTTCATTCAGCGATCCAAATCAGGATTCGCCATGATTGCAGTATATGTTGATTATTTAATCACTATTGAAACTCTCATTGAAATTGAAAATACTGCAAAATATCTCATGAAAGAATTTGAAATGAAAGGTATTGGGAGGACAAAATTTTGTCTCGTCATTCAAATTGAACATTTGAGAAATGGTATTTTTATTCATCAATCAAAATATACCAAGAAACTTTTGAAGCGGTTTTACATGAATAAACCACACCCGCTCAATTTTTCAATAATGTTTCGATCTCTCAATATGAATGATGATTTTTCCGACCTTGTGAATGTGATGAATAAAACCCTGGTCGTAAAATAATATATTTGAATGCTAGATATTTGAAGCATTAATGTATTTGGCTAATACAATACTTGACTAGATATTTCTAGCTTTTTCTATAAATTTGTTAGCCAGATATAGCGCAGGTCAAAGGACGTTACATCAAAGGGGAGAGAACAAAGCGTACAACACCAACACTTTTCTCCACACATGATTTTGAGAAACAAGGAACGGTTAATATCAAACAAATCAAGTCCTGTGACAATCCTGCTGATTTATTCACAAAGTCATTGGCACCGAAGAAATTCGAAGAACTTGTCCACAAAATTGGAATGTATCACTTCGAGATATATGTTGAACTGAGGGGGAGTAATATAATGCACTGCACTCTTTTTCCCTTCGTCAGGATTTTTTTTCCCACTGGGTTTTTCCTGACAAAGGTTTTTAACGAGACAGTACATTATAATACTATGAAACTAATACCCCAGAATAATTAGAAGATGACCATTCAAGGGGGAGTGTTGAAATATTATTGAATTAGTCATCTTCTAACTATTCCTGATTAGGAATTATTATCACCATTACATAAATAATTAGGAAATCATAACTATGATTTCAAGGTGATAAATGTGTGGCTCACAATGATCTCCTAATTTCATTGAGCTCACACTTTCTCCTATAAATAGGAGTCATTCTCATTGTAATTAACACACTTCTTAAACACCATTATCACACTTCTAATAACATCTTTCTCACTAAGTATTCAGACTATACTTTCTCTCTCTGATCTTCTGCTTATTTCCTTCCATATTATAACAGGTCCTATTTTTTGTTTTCATTTTTTTGCTAATACGATTACAATATTGTTTGGTCTGATTTGATTTTGTATGGATGGACATTTCTTCTTTTAACTCAACAAGACGAGTAGGATTCATTCGAGCCGAACTAGTTTAGCTTAACAGCACCATAATGACCGATAATCATCGTCGATGTGGCCTAGGAATTCAATTTGGAGAGACGCTGTGCTACAGGCATAGAGCTAATTCAACCACCTGATCGGAAGTCGGAACCTTCAACAATTTCTTAACTGAGGGTGAAGAAAGATGCTGTTTCAGGTGGGTGGGCAGGGGACTCGGCCCACCTTCTTCGAGATGGCCGCTTCTCAGCAACTCCCTTCCAGCTTGCGAGCCGCTCTTTCTTACTCTCTCGGCGTATGCTTGCTCTTCATCACCGCCTAAATTAGGGTTTTAAATTTCCAGTCTTCCATTTTAATGTGTTTATTACCTACAGGTTTTGGCTCTGAGAAGACCTTTCCTCCACAAAGTTCTTGACTTTGAAGATGAATTCTTTGCTTTTCTCATGCTTGTCCTTGAAACTCACAGTTTGCGGACCACAGGTAAATGCATATTATCGTTTTATCTATGCTTATTTGTTACTGTTCTGCTGATTTTCGATGTTATGATCAATTTGTGCTGTGTAGTGGAACTGTATGTGTATTGTAGCTGAATTTTTCTTAGTTTTGGATTCCACCAGATGCATCATTTGCTGAGTCGTTGTATGGGCTAAGGAGGAGAGGTGTTAACGTTCGAGTTACTAATGATAAGAAACGTTTGGAGTCGAATAATGGAATTCATCACACAGGATTGGAGAAGCGCCAAAAAATTCTTTCCGTTGCATTCCTTGTAAGTTGTAAACAAATTTATTCATTCATATATTCACTCGAATCGGAATGTGATATACTGGTAGTGCAATGGAATGTTACTGATTATAATTGATTCTGGAGGAACTTTATCAAACCAAGTAATGTTTGTTGAAGACATGAAGTTATATAGTCCCGTAGTTCATTTGGGGACCTAAAGTGGATGAAGTAGCTGAGTTTGCTAAATGTGTTGCCGGCAATGGCTGAATTGGTTGAATAAGCTAAGTCATCGAATAAAAGGAATTTCATATATGTTTATTAAATAAATTAATGAAAATAATAATGTCATCCTAAAATGAATGTAGAAAACTAGAAATGTCATTTTCTACAACTTCAGCCGTCTCAGCCAAAAAAGTAACTTGTACACTATTTTTCACCATTGGTCGCTTCAGCCAACATATTGAAAAAAGTTTGTGTTGGTGAAAATTTTGCTGCTAACGCTGTTAAGCAGAAAAAGGTAAACCAAACGGTGACATTGCCATATGAACTATTTGTCTCAAGTTCCACTAGCAGTGATATGAACTATTGCCTTTGTTTAGGTGATATTGCCATATCTTAGGTCAAAGCTTCATGCAGTATACAACAAAGAAAGAGAGGTTGCACTTCAAGCTAGTTTATGGGGTGAAGGTGATGACAGATTTACCAGCACGAACAATCTTGATACACATGCATCTTCTTTTGTTTCTACAACAAATAGCTCTGATACTGAAGCAACATCAACAAGAGAACGCTTGAGAAAGAGAATTCGGAAGTGCATTGCTATTTGCTACCCATGGATACATGCAGGAAATGAAGGTCAGCCTGGGAAGCTCAATGTGGTTTATATGACTTGATAAGAATCTTGTTCTGAACATTTTTTATTCCGAGAAAAAAGAGTGCAAATTCATCAACAAGTTGCGAAAAAATAGCCCCATTCATATCAAGTTTAAAAAATAAGTCTGATTTAATGCAGTTGTACCTTATAAAAAGAACTTTATTTTGGAAGTAGTGAAAAGTTTAAGATTCAGTGTTTTATTTTACATTTGTTGATGGTGAAATTATACCTGTTAACTAACCACTCTTTTTAGGGCTTTCATTTGCTTACCAGCTATTATTTCTACTGGATGCTACTGGGTTCTACTCTATAGGATTGCATGCATTGGGCATTCAAGTTTGCCGAGCAACAGGACAGGAATTGGTACGCCACGGCAAACAACTTATTGTTTAGGACCTCATTCATTCTATTTCTATTTAATAATCGTCTTTAGCTTTTATCAGAATCTGCATTTGCAATATGCCAAAACTATTATTTTTAACACCATCATCTACCTTTTTAGTTAATCTGAATTTTTTTCTTTTTAATGGAGGATGAGAGGAGGTGAAAATTACTCTTCTATTGTTTGGAACTTTGGATGGACTAGAGAATGGAGGGGAGGGGAGGGATGGAAATAAGAAAATTATAAGAAATACACAAGTTTACCTTTTTTGTGTATATCACTATATTGCCTTTAAATTTTAAGTTTTTGTTGTTTTCCATTGTCAAGTTAGATTGATACTTCTTCTAGAATATCCAAGATAAGAAAGCATGAACGTGAGAGGCTCCGTGGCCCCCCTTGGCTAAAGGTATGCATTAAGTCCTCTTTGTTTTCAATACTGCATATTAACTTCTGTGTTTTACTACCTGATGTTGAAGATGTTACTCTGCTAAGGTTGCTCAGGGAGGAGACGGCCTTCTCTAACTTACATTTGGCATGAACCTATAGTGTTAATTATATTTATTGACACCAACTTTCATGCCTCTGACCTGATTAATTGGGATTAAGCTGTTGATGATGATTATTATTATATTATCATTTTTGGTGTATGCGTTGGAAGAGATATTTTTGTACCAATTGGCAGCTTCCTGGCCATGTTTTACCCTATTTGACATACACCCCTTATTTTATTTTCTAAGAACATAAACCCCAAAGCACCTCAAAGCTGGGTGCAAAGTCAAATAAAATATTAAAGTAAAAAAATGTGGCGCAATTGTGTTGTAAAAGTCTGATAGCGATGAATTGTTCTGGAGTGCGCTAAGGTCCATGTTCAAAGAAAACAAAACATGATTGTGCAAATTCAAATAATGGGGTAAAACATGGGCTACATACAACAATTTTCCCTTTCTACATCCTTGCGTGTTATCTGGTATTAGGTTCTATCCTCTTACAATTATCATGTCAGTTGTGAATCTTAATCCTCTAAAGCAAAATAGCCTGACATACAACAACATTTCAGAAAATACAAGGTGGGTTACTTGGTTTTGCATATGCTGCTCTTGACTATGCTCAAACTGGCCTAATTGCTGCAGTATTTTTCTTCAAAGTAAGTTTAATCCACTCTCATAAAAATTTCAAATTATATGGTGTATTCTTTATATCTTTTTTTATATCTAAACGATATCTAATATTCTCTTTGCCATTTTTGCGTATAATGCTCAGATGATGGAGTGGTGGTATCAATCAGCTGAAGAGCGAATGTCAGCCCCGACCATTTATCCTCCTCCACCACCACCACCAGCCCCAAAGGTGAGTCAGTGATAAGATAAGTAAAACCATTAATTCTTTACCTGTTCATTTATCTAGAGTTGGTCTAATCTCTAAACAGGTCGCTAGAGATGGTATTCCTTTGCCTCCAGACAAGTCACTCTGCCCTCTGTGTTCACAAAAACGAGTTAACCCCTCTGTAGTGTCAGTTTCTGGATTTGTCTTTTGTTATTCCTGCATATTTAAATATGTCTCTCAGGTAAAACTTAATAATTGCATTCTTTTCTTGATGAATACTACGTGTGTTAAGTTACTCCAAAGCAGGGGTTTAAATATGTATAAATAACTTAGTTCTATACTTTGACTATATGCAGTACAAGCGTTGTCCGGTTACACTTACTCCTGCAACCATGGATCATATAAGGCGACTTTTTCATGATGTTTGAAAGTTTTATCTAGTATGAACATCTGATTTTAATTAAAGTCCAATTATATGCATTCCAAGGATATTGTTGTCGTTAGCAATTTTTAGTTTCTCTTATTCTGAAAAGTTATTATTTGAGAATTTTTGAGTTTGCATCCATGTTTACATTGAAACTGAACATTGTACCTCATTTTAAAATCTTTTGAGTTACACCTCAAAGTCCAATAGCAGGGATGCAGATTCAAATTACAATCCAATGGGGTACAAAGTCTAAAAGAAATACTCCACTTTTGGTACGTTGAGGTGCAAATTGAGATGATTTAAACCATGAAACACAAAGTCCAATTTCCAAGCATATATGGGTTGTGATTGTGTGAATTCATAATGCATAATAATATTGCCAAGTGATTCTGAAGGGAGAGTACCTTCCAAGCAGTGTTTTAAAATGCATGAAAAGGTGTGGCCTAAGCGGGCCTAGGCGCAATGCACCATCAATGAGCCTTGCATACTTGTTATGTACTTATGTGTGGGAAAAGGTGACCTGCTAGCCCATTAGGCCATTATTATGACCTAAAAACGGAGATTTTTTTTTTCATTAATTACAGCCTGAGGCCATAATGAATAAAGATACATGGTGGACCAAGATGAAAGGGCCATTGAGGTATTGGCTACACGAAGAGAAGCGGGAAGTATCATACCCAAAAATCTGTAATATTACGTATTCCATAGTTCCAGTGTGCGCCAAATGTAATTTAGAGCCGGACTCGACCCAAGTTCACCATCAAGATTTGCTTCAGCTAACTTAGCCAAACACAAGCTGTTCTTTACATAGTTATGGTGGTGGTGGTGCGGCTACTGCGGTGGCCGCAGCTGCCTAGTTCTCCACATGTTGGGTTAGTAGATACTTGATTCGAATGAGTCGTTCCTAGTCACTACACATGAGGTTGAGAGGTTCCACTCCACATGTTGGGTTAGTAGATACTTGATTCGAATGAGTCGTTCCTAGTCACTACACATGAGGTTGAGAGGTTCCATTCTAGTCAGAGTTGAATGCATTTTCTTCTTGTTTATTGGAAACTTTCTAACTTGTATTTCTTTCTCTTAGTTGGTCGTTTAGTTGTTCTTGTACGATGAAAAATATGATGATACTTTAACGATGAATACAAACTTCAAGCCTGATCGAGCGGTGATCGGCAATAACAATTATTTTAGCTAGACAAACTCTATCTTGTTCATGTGCAAATTTGAACATTTGTGCCTTGTCTGTGCCGATTGTATGCAACATGTTTCAATTAATTTAATATAAATTTCTTCTATTGAAAACCTTATAAAAATATGGTAATGCAGCACGATACACATGTATTTTAGGAACTAAGGATGTTTTCTTTTGGATTGTTTTCCGTCCCAGACCAGACTTCCTTAGTTACACAGAGACCAGACGTTTATCAGACCAGACCAACAAATTTCAATCCAAAAGAAAACAACCTAACTATGTTGTGAGAAGTTATGAGTAGACTATAAACTATCTCTCCATCTCATTTTATTTTTCTTACTTTTTTGGTATTGTTTCAAAATAGATGTTTTGTTTCCTTTTTTGACAAAAAAAAATGTGGCCTTTATCATTTTACTTTCTTATAGTCAAATTTCAATTACAATTTTTACTTTTCAACAGTTTTATTGATAATGTGTCAAACTAAAAGAAGACATTCAATATAGGATGGAGGTAGTATTCGTGTAAAGTTATAATTGTTTTATTATTTTAAGATGACTAAGAGTCCGTTTGGTAACACGAACATTGGTTGATTCTGTTAAAATTTATGAAATTTTGGCTGAAGTGGTTGCATTGGCTGATTCTTCTGATTTAAAAAAAATGTTTTTAAAATATATTTTATTAATAAAATAAAGAAAAAATTAGATGTAAAAATAACTAAAATGGTCATCTACGGTAACTTCAACTAATACAATCAGAAACGTAACTACAACCTTACCCTTTTTTATTATTACACAATTCACCACGCGAAAACAAGAGTTACGTGTTTGATGAAAAAGTTGGCTTATAAGCCTGATAAGCCGAAAAACAATGTTATCAAAAGTCCAATTTTGAGATTAAAACATACATAGCCTTATTATTTAACTTCGACGACATATATTCATATTTGAGCAATTTGTTCTTCATATTAAGATATTAAGATATAAGGTTCTATTCTAAAATGATATAAGGTTGTATTCTAAAATGTTAACCCGAGTTGGCTAAGAGAGTAGTAAGAGGTAGTTAATCATGCCAATGAAGTTGACTTATCCAAAATTCTAAAATGTTACTTGTGGAACTCATACTTCCGAAGTGTCTTGTTCCAATTGTTAGCGCATTTCAATTTGCACAAGATTGTTTGTTAATCATGCCAATGAAGTTGACTTATCCAGGACCGATTCAAAGTATCGATCAAGCCTACATAGAAAGGAAGGTTTAGCACTTTAGCATATAGACTAATAAGATTTTAAAAAAGTTATCCTAAACAGAAATTAAAACAAAATGATTTTTCTTAAATAAGAGTAGCACTTTTTCAAAATAAGAGTTAATATCATGTACTATCATACTCCGTATTAATGACTTATAAGTTGTGCCAAAATATTCCAAAATGATTCAATTTATACTCCGTAGTGCTTTACTCTTATACGTAGTACTACCTCCGTCCCTAAATAAATTTCCAACTTTCCTTTTTCGTCCGTCCCAATTAAAACTTCCACTTTCCTTTTTTGGCCAGAATTTGTGGTTCACATCAATTCTTACACATTTCTCTCTCTTCTGCACAACTCTCTACCACACAATACCCACTATCTTAAACTGTGTGTCAAACTTATTTGGAAGTTTTATTAGGGACGGAGGAGTATATGTGTAAAACACAACACTATTTTTTTTACTTTTATTGTGGGAAATTCTTCAAGATTTGTTAAATGTCGTCATCCTTGAATTCGAGCATGTGATCTTTTCCTTGAAAATGTCATACTAATGTCATCGAACCACAAATGTGTTTGACAATAACTAATTAGTATAGTTTCTTTAAATTAATTAAGAATGTTTTTAATCACATGACAGACCAAATCATATTAGACTTAAAAAGATTAGTCCAAATTAGACCATATCAGATCAGACGAGATTTCAATGTTTGTAAAATACACAAAGAATAGATATCTACAAGACCAACCAGACTAAACTAGACTTAAACAGTATAATCAAAAGAGTTTAAATCAAATCATACTAGACTTAAATAGATCGAATCAAACCAGATCAAATAATTACAATCCAATGAAAAACATCTTGTTTGCCATTATGTTTAGAGATAATTCCCCAAATAATAGTGAATATGGAGAAAGTGCAAAAACAGGAGTACATTTGAAGCTTGGACAAGAATACTCATGGAGCCATGGAGGAGTTGCAGTCAGAGCTTCCCTCGAGCACCTCCGTCATCCAATCTGCCTTCGCCACTGCTCGATTTGTTGCGTTCGTATGACCTGCCGCTTTAAGTCGCCAAGAGCCATCGAAAATTTTCAAAATCTTCCTCCACTACATGACACCGCCACTGTCGGTCCCCACCACCACCACTACTGTCTACTAGACTGCTCGTCACCAACAAATTGACCCGATTATTTAAGAAAATTAGAGGTAATTGATTGTATTAATTAATTTGATTAGGGGTATTAAGGGTAAAAAATTAAAGTTTAATCCTATTGGATAATGACTATGTTTCCTATTAAAGGTGATTACTTTTTACTCCGATTTATCTAACTAAAAAAGACATGTAACAGAAAAGTTTCTTTAAAAGTTAAACCCCATTCCATATTCACATTAGCCATCCTTTGAATGCAAATGAGGATCTAAAAAAGAGTGGCGTGAGTCGTGCCCTATGAGGGATGTCGGCCCTTTTAAGAAAATTACTATGCCGAAGAAAGAGACCCCTGAGACTGTTGTGGTCTAAAATCGGCACATGTAACCACACTAATTATTTCAAATGTTTTATTAACTTTTTCAACGCAAATTATTATTTGTGTAGTTTTCTTCCTCCCATGGATTGATTTATTTAAGCTGTGGCATTTATTGGTTCAAAATTCAATTCATGTGCCTGCCTTTCTGTATTTATTATTAATAATTTATTATTATTATTATTAGTAGCAGTACCTGAATGTGCCCCAGGACAACTAAGGCTGATGACTATCTCCAACAATTTCACATGTTTTTTCTCCCATCTCAGATCTAAATTTTGCGTCGGTGCAGCAAATTTTGGGGTCTATATCATTGATATTGTTTCTTGTAATTTGCTCTAATTCCATATTTTTCGATTCTTTAGGTACACTGTAATAATCTTAAGATGATTTTTTCCTTTTTAAAAAGCTCAAGAAAGTTTAGTGGGGTATCGTCTTTTAATTGTTCAGATTATTAACCTGACAAGTAAAATTGGAAAAGTGATTCTTTTTACTGCCTAATAGAAAAGAAAACTATGGTACAGGTTTACAGGTTACAACTACTCCCTCCCCCGCGTCCACTTATTATAGGTTTGTTTTCAAATGCTTTAAAAAAATACTTCTCACTTTTTGTCTTAAAAAACACTTATTTTACTAAGTTTTATTAACTTTTATTTTTCTCGGCTTTTGTTTCAGAAGTGCTTTTATTTTTTATATCATACAAAAAACACTTGTTTTATCAAACACTACCAACTTGTATTTTTCAAAATTACTTTTTTCTCAAACATTATCAACTTTTATTTAATCACTTCTCCCCATTTTATTAAAAAAACATTTTTTAAAGCAGAAACTGTTGCAAACAGACCCTAAGCAATTCAATTATTTTGGAGATACAAAAGTAAATATTTTTCAATTTTGGTAATTCAAAGTGGCTCAGTTTCTTAAAGTTGATAAAATTCTGATTGAATTGATTCCATTGGTTGAATTTGCTACATTATTTAAAAATTATTATGTATATTTAAAGTTCATTTTATTAATAAATAAAGAAAATATTGAAGTATTTAAAAAATAGCTAAAAGAATTAGGAAAAATTTAAAATAACAATTCCAATTAATGTCGGTCTGCTGACAATAATCTCAACTATTGATTATTTTTGTATAATCCCAACTATATGGACTGTCCACCAACAATGGTCCATGACCAGATATTACCTCCTATAACAAGTGAATTTTAAATAGAAATTAAGCATACAAATTAAAAGTTGGGATTATTTATAGAGATTGCTTGCTATATCTCTTCTCATCCACTTTAGAAACTACATGAATTTATTTATAGAGACCATTATTGGCGGAAGGTCCCTAAAGTTGAGATTATTCTGAAATAATCGATAGTTGGGAGTATTATGAGCGGACCGCCAATAGTTGAGATTATTACTATCAATTTTTCCAAAGTATTATCTGTTGTAACTTTAGCCAATTCTAACGCGCGAAGTAAAAACATAAGTGTTTGATAAACAACTGACTAATGAAACTGATAAGCTGAAAATTGAGGTTATCAAAAGAGCACTTTGTCTAATGGGCCTTTAGATCCTGTTTGGTCCCCTTTTTTCCGGCTGATCAAGCTTATCAATCATTTTTCTCACCAAATACTTAAATTTTGATTTCGCGTATTGAATTGTGTAATAATAAGATAATATAAGGTTGGCGTTACTTTTCTGTATTGGCTGAATTTACTGTAGAAGATCCTTGTAACTATTTTCCATATAATTTTTTATTTTGTTTATTAATAATAAATATTTTAAATATAATTTTTTTCATAAATCAGCAGAATCTACTAATGCATCGACTTCAACTAAAACTTCATAAATTTCAACAAAATCAATCAATTTAACCAATTTCAGTGTTACCAAACAGGCTCTTAATTATTAAATACGGAGTATATGAAATTTCATTTAATGGGTAAGTGTCATAGAACATTTATAATATAACAATTCCCTAAATAAATTAGAATAAATATACGGATCCGAGTAGTTTTTCAAACAATAAATATACGGATCCGAGTAGTTTTTTTAACTTTTTTTGTATAAACCTTCTCTGCTAAGAATAGTGACTACTTCGTTGGATGGTTTTTAAGTTTACTACTCAGTAATTCTTTACGCCGATACTTCTTTATTTTTATTCTTGTAAACCTTCTCCATTAAGAATAGTGACTAAATCGTCAAATATTTTTAAGTTTGACTATAGTTCTTGAATTCGATACTTGTC